TGGCAGTGATTTCTCGCGTTAGGAACATCAATGGGAAACCTTTTAGTTTCTCATTTGGGTACCATACATATTTGTCCCTTTCCGACATAAGGTAAATGTTTAACCTTTCTCGCACATAACAGATGAAATTTGAATTCAATTTGATTATATTTCTCCAAATATTTGGACTGTCATCCGATAGTGAAGTGAGACTAGAAGGTTTGGAGACGCTGGACTGTCTTGACAACCTTTGCCAAAGAGAACGCTTCACAGAGCAAGGAGATGCCCTGACATTTGAATCCGAGGTAACATGCGATAAGATAACAATTCGAGAGAATGGATGAGAATGCTCTAACTGAAGAAGTTTCTTTTTTCCCTTTCTGGCAGGTTGATCGCGTTTATCTTAGCTCTCCAAATTGCATTGCGGTTCTCGACCATGAAAGGAAGAGAACATACGTGATAAGAAAAGAAGGTCTACCGGATGTTGGTAAAGATTCTTCAATTCACTTTTCTTTTCTTTTTTCACGACAGGAAATTTTTCATCGGCTTTCTTACGCTATACCAATAAATACAAGTGAAATTTTGTTGTGTATATAGTTGTATGGAATCCGTGGGAGAAAAAATCGAAAGCAATGGCAGATTTTGGAGACGAAGAGTACAAGCAGATGCTTTGTGTCGATGGCGCAGCAGTTGAGAAACCGATCACCTTGAAGCCAGGAGAGGAATGGACGGGGCGTTTGGAGCTTGCGGCTGTACCCTCGAGTTTTTGCAGTGACTGCTTTGATCCCTAGCTCAAGTAAGAAATTTGTAAAACCGCCCGGGTTTTTTAGTCTTTGATTAGGTTGGATAATTAGAAAAACCTTCGATGGAATAGTGAAGCCTATGTTTTTTTGTGAAATGGCTGCTATTTTCAGTTCGAACAGAAGAAATTTCGGACAAAAATTTGTTATTTTCCCAGCAATCACATGGTTGGATGGTTCCAGCTTTTTTATTTTTTCGTTAATGATAGTTGAAATTATGTCTTGTTCCGATTTAGTTGAATTAAATTCGATCCTCCAATTAAGCTCATTTTGTCCGGTACAAGAACTAAACAACAAATTAATTCTTGTTATCGACGAATTAAAATTATCTAAGGTCACTACATCTGGTTTGCTAAAGAAGAAAATTAATAGAATACAGGGGAAGTCTTTGTACTTGCAAATTGCCACCGAATATGCTGAACTCAAATTCAACACCCTGCAGAAGCAACCAAGAATAGTTATAACTTACAAGTGCTGTGTAAGCAATAGTATTATCTGAACATAAGCATTTATCTCATAAAGCTTCGAAATGAAAACTAAACTGTGATTTCTCTCTTGTAATCCGAAGGAATACTTATATATGAGAGCTTTATATTCAGTTATACAAGTAAAATGTCAACACTTCCTCTGAATTTTATACAAGTCCCCACTTCCTCTTTTTTTTTTCTTTTTTTTTTTTTTTGTATAATTTTA